ACGAGAGACGCCTGGTAGGGTGGCTAGACGTGCAGCAGTCAGCCTACGCCTCGGCACATACATGGTTTGATGAGTTATACGGTGCATGCCGCAGCATCTGGGGCGGGGTATATAGCGACTAGCTAGATCTGTCTTCCATTTCTTCCACCTAGGAAAGATTTGCTCCCAACTATAAAAAAAAAGTGTAAATCTCCACCATACGAGTCTGTTGTCATTAGTAGTGACAGGTTACCATAAACAATATAAAAAAATGTTAAAAAAAAATTTGTAAATCTGTCACCATGCGAGTTCGTGTTGCCATTAGTACACGTTACAGTTCAAACATATAAAAAGATGTAAAAAAAAAATAGTAAATCTCCACCATACGAGTCTGTTGTCATTAGTAGCAGTTACATTACAACAATATAAACAATGTTAAAAAAAAAAAAAAAAATTTCTCAAATTCCGCGCTTTCGCGCGCGGCTTCCCGCAGGTGTTTTTCCGCGCGGCGGGGGCGCTGGCGCAGCTCGAGTCGCATCGGGACGAGAAGCTGCGGGGCGACACGTGACGCCTCCCAGGCGCGCGTGCTGCGCCGGCGCGCGCCGCTCGGGCGCGCTGACGCCGCAGGAGCCTCGCCGTGCGCTGCATCGCAGCGCAAATCAAGAGTTACGTGGCCGGTGCGCGAGTGGTGCGTGTGGAAGGTGTTCACGAAATGGCTGGCGCGCTGCTACGACGTGCACGCCCAGCGAGAGAGCTTGCGAGCGAAGGAGGTGAGACGTCGGGGGGGAGCGGGAGGGGAGGATGAGAGCGGAGAGGGGTGAGAGCGGGAAGGAGGGAGAGAGCGGGGGTGAGAGGGGGAGAGGGTAGGCGAGAGGAGAGAAGCGGGGTGGAGGGAGAGGGGTGAGAGCGAAGGAGTGAGAGCGGCGGGGAGGGAGGGTTGAGAGCGGGGAGGAGGGGTAGAAAGCGAAGGAGGAGAGAGGGTGGGGTGAGAGCGGGGAGGAGGAGGTGAGACGAAGGAGGGAGCGGTGGGGTGAGAGCGGGGAGGGAGGGGTGAGAGCGAAGGAAGTGAGAGAGCGGGGAAGTGAGAGCCGGGGGGGGGGTGAAGCGACGGAGGGAGAAGGGGGTCGAGAGCGGGGAGAGGGAGTGAGAGCGAAGGAGAGAGGGGGGTGAGAGCGGGGAGGATCGGGGTGAAGAGCGAAGGAAAGGTTGAGATGGCGGGAGGAGGGGGTGAGAGCCGGCGGGGGGGGCTGAGAGCGGGGAGAGGGGGCTGAGAGCGAAGGAGGAGAGAGGGGGTGAGAGCAGGGGAGGAGGGGGTGAGAGCGAAAGGAGGTAAGCGGGCGGGGGGGAGCGTGGCGGGTGAGAACGGGAGGGAGGGGGAAATTCCGAAAGCGAAGGAGGAGAGAGGCGGGGGTGCAGAGCGGGAGGAGGGGGTGAGAGCGAAGGAAGGAGCAGAGGCGGGTGAGCTAGCCGGGGAGGAGGGGTGGAGAGCGAAGGAGTGAGAGCGGAAGAGGAGGAGGGTGAAGAGCAGGGAGGAGGGCGGTGAAAGCCGAAGGAGGAGAGAGGGGGGGGTGAGAGTCGGGGAGGACGGGTAGACGAGCGAAGGAGGTGAGAGGGGGTGAGAGCGGGGAGGAGGGGTGAGAGCGAAGGAGTGAGAGCGGGGATCGAGACGGGAGGAGGGGGTGAGAGCAGAAGGAGTGAGAGCTGGAGGGGGAGAGGAAGGAGCGGAGAGGGGCAGAGGGGCAGAGCAAGGAGGTGAGAGGCGAGGGGGTGATGAGAGCGAGGGGTGAGAGCGGGAGGGGGGTGAGAGCGGGGGGAGGGGTGAGAGCGGGGAGGAGGGGGTGAGAGCGAAGGAGGCGAGAGCGGCGGGGGAGGGGGTGTTGTCGTGGAAACGCTTAGGAGTTTGCGTGTTTGTGAGAGCGGGGGGGGGGGGGTTGCCGTGGAACGGTCGGTGGTTTTCGTGTGTTGTGAAGGAACTGAGATCAGTGATTCCGTGGAAGTTTTCTGCCGATTTTTCGTGTATAATACATGTGGAAGCTTGGCGTATACTTTAATACAACAACGTAACGTGCGTAGGCGGGGTTGACGCATGGTAGGCTACTGAATTTCGAGAGTATTTCGTCATCATTTCATATGTTTGGTAAGGCGTACTATAGTCTATAGCAGTGGTTCTTACCATTTTTAGGCCCCACGACCCCATCAGACATTTTTTGGCAGGACCGTGACCCCCGAAACAAAAATTGGAAAAAAACAGCCCGATTTATGAAAACATGTCTGCCAATACTCAGTCAATGGGGTGGGCTTTGCAGCCATCAGGCGATCCAAAAAATTCGGGGCAAGTGCTTTGGGCTTGTGGGCAACCAAATTTATGAGTCCGACCGGGCAAGTGCTTTGGGCTTGTGGGCAACCAAATTTATGAGTCCGACCGGGCAAGTGAGGAAAAAAATTTTTGTAGCACCCTGATAATTATATAGAATTTAAATGGATTTGTTTCATTTATGACCTCTGGAAAAACCCCAAACGACCACCAGGTTAAGAACCGCTGGTCTATAGCATGGCACTTTATGCATAGTAAGACATAGCGAGATACTTTATCCTCCGTGCGATGGTGTAAAATGGTGTGGTGATCGTATCAGAATTGTGGTTCGTTCCTTCAGGCTGAGGTAGAGGACCTGAGAACTAGACTACAGAAGACAGAGAAGGAACGCAGTGAGTTGAAGACGAACCATGATCGTCTGGAAGCACGGGTAAGCCTCCCCTCTCAATAAGTGAGATCGGAAAGTCCAGCCGTGCTATGTAGGTCATAGAAAAATGGGGTATAAAATGGCCGAGGCGCGTTTAGGAAAGTACATGATTAATGTAAACACTCGTGCGTTTTTAGTTTTTGCATTAACAACAAACATTGCAAAATATCCCAAATGACCACAGTCATATTTGTAAGTGTTTATGTAAACAGAAACGCACCAGTCCTGTGAATTGAAGTACGATGTGAGTGAAGAGAATTATAGATAAAAAACCAAGACTAGTCCTATCCTAACCATGCTATACCCTCTCTTATCTGATCTCAATATGGCGGCGGGAACTTTCCGATATGGCTTATATATGCTCTTGAAACTCTGTTTCAGTTGGCAGGGCTTATTTAATTTTATTGTACAAACAAATTATCGAAATTACTTTAGTTGTGCCTGCCTTGTACTGCATGCTATATGTTTAAATGATATGTACTTGTACTTATGCGTGTAACCTTGTATGTGTAACCTATTACATGTGTTACAAGTGTAACCTTGCAGATAGCTACTCGGTTTAATGGTGGTGTAATTTAATTTTCCTGTAAATGCCGTGCAAATGCTCCTCTGCAACACACATGTACACCGCGCGCACGCTGCCGCACACTG